TGAAGGGGCTGGGGATTTAGCTCAGCGGCAAAGCGTCTGCCTGGCAAGCGCAAGGTCGTGAGTTCAGTTCCTGGTACTGGAGAAAAACCAAAAAAAAAAAAAAAAAAAAAAAAAAACGAAATTGAATGAAGACGGTTTCTGTCACAGTCCTGTGTCTTTTTGTAATGTATATTGAACTTAATTAAAAATATAGTTAAACTTTTTGGAGTATGTATAGGGTGCGGATTACATACGAAGTTTTTTGGGGGTGGGGGTGCAGTTTAATACAAAGGCCCTGGGTTTAATCCTCAGTACACAAACAAAAACAAAAATAAAAACTACTACAGTCTCAACCTTCTCCCAGATAGGCCGACCATATAACATATGATGTAATTTTGGCCAATAAAATATAAGCAGATACTGTTAGAGTGGGTTAGTAGGTGTCCTTTTCCTCCGTTCTATTTCTTTATGCCCAAATCATGATGTGAATGGCCAGAGCCGGTTGTCTCTTGGTGTATCTGATTCATTTCTGTATTCAGTATACAGTATTATATTTCCTAAAGGGTTTGCTATTGAGTGGCACTGTGATATTTGTGCAGCTAAAAAGAAATTAACAGAATAACTTTCAGCACAGGACGGTAAGTAAGACGCTACCATGTAAATACTACTTAACCACACTAACGAGCTTGACAGAGCGAAGTTCAGTACCCTGGAGACAGGGTATTGGTAAGTTACTAAGTTACCAAGCCTGGGCTTGAATTTATGATCCTCCTGCCTCAGCCTTCCAGAATGCTGGGATCACAGGTGTGTGCCGCCATGCCAGTGAGAATGTAGTATTTTTATTTGGACATAGTGTTGTGTTTAACTTTTTAAGGGAGAAGAAAATGACAATGGATAGGGACTAGTAGTATCTGCCTTAGCTATATATGTGAAGATGTTTTCTAAAATTTAACATGTACAAACCATAATTAGGTTAAAAGATACTTCATTTTTTTGTTGTTGTTGTAACTGTATTTCAGTAGGTCTTAATTTTTTCCCCCAGTACTGGGGATTGAACCCAGTGTCCTAACTGTTCTGCCCCTCCCCTATATCTACAGCTTTTTCTTCCTTTTCTTTCTTTTTGGTGGTATCTGGGATTCAACGCAAGACTGTTACATTGAGCTGCACCCGTGGCCTTCTTTATTTTTTATTTTGAGAGAGGGTTTCACTAAGTTGCACAGTCTGGGCTTGAACTTGTGGTCCTCCTGTCTTAGCCTTGCAGAGTGCTGGGATTATAGATACGTGCCACCATGCCTGGCTCACAGCCCCAAATTTTAAAAGTTGAACATTTTTGTGGTTAGAAGTGTTCAGAGGATTTATATATATATAAACTAGAGGACACATTGATTGTAGATCTGATTGTTTTCAGTTCTGACAAACGATGTTTAAATTATTCCTTAAGTAACTGTGAAACATGCATAATTCCTGCCTTTCAAATGAAGACGCCAGGATGTGAGGGCAGTCTGGCTGCGACATCTGTCACCTCACTGATCCGGCTGGTCTGGCTAGCTAGGCGGGAGTCCCCTTCCTCCCTCACCGCTCCCTCCCTCCTGAAGCCGCATGCTCAGTGGAAGAGGATGACCACCTCGGCAGAGGAGGACTGGTTCCTCAGCCAGGGCTGTACAGGTGGCTGTGCTCCCCTTCTACAGTCTCCAAATGAGCTCTCAAATGGCGACACTAAAGCTCCAAGAGGTTAAGTTACTTATTAGGATCACACAGCGAATAAGTCAGAGCTGAGATTGAATCAGGCCACACTCTTTCTATTATACTGTACTGCTGCCTTATTAGATGCCTGGTTTAAATAGGACATTTAAAGTCAGCTTATTAATTTACTGATTTTTTTCTACTTCATTAATCTGTGCTTTTCATCTTTCTTTGAGTTCCCACTTTTTAAAAAAGCTTTTAAATTGGTGGCCTAAAGAATAAAAAGATAGAACACTAATATACTAGCTCAGCTAGACTACAAATATTACAGTTTTCTAGATACGATTTTTAATGGTTTATTTTTTAAAAAATCTTGATTTCTTATTTAATTGCATTGTGGCCAGAGACCGTATAACCTGTATGTGTTCTCTTTGAAATTTGTTGCAGGGCTGGGGATATAGCTCAGTGGCACAAGCCCCTGCCTGGCAAGTGCAAGGTCCTGAGTTCGATTCCCAATACCAAAAAAAAAAAAAAGAAAAAAAAAACCAAAATGAAACTTGTTGCAGCTGTTTTGGTATGAACAGATTTGTGGACAAATTTCATAAATTTGTGCTTTACGAGATGTTTCAGACCTATAAGATCTATTAGATCAAGCTTGATTAAAATAGTTACATCTTCAAAATGTATTTATGTTTTAGCCTTTAAATTCCTAGTTTGACTGTAATAAGTAGTTTGGTGAATGGGCTATCAAGAACTTGTGCTTTATTATTTACCTCATATTTAAATTTATATCACTGATGAAGGCATAAGAAATAATTGATAAGTGTAAAGTAGGTCTGGTATGGAGGTTTGACTTTCATGATAGCTTACAGTGGTCAGGTAGCTGCAGAGGGAAAGCAAAAATGGTAGTGGTTCAGCTCTTACTTGGATTTTTAAATTTATGTTTTCTTCATCATTGAAAAATTACAAATTCCACATCGTATTGAAAGATAAAAAACTAAGCCGGGCGTGTGATGCACGCTTGTAAT